GAGCAAAAAAAAATCATGAAAAAGAACAAATTTCAGCCTGGCTGGTTAGTTACTACTGCACTCATATTGCTCCGGAAAAAAAAACACATGTAAAACAAAACAGGAAGCATCAACCAATCAATTACTGCACACATGTCACACAGCTATGGGTAGTTGAGTCGCTAGCATCACTTTACTTATACAGTTTTTTTGACAACTCAGTGGCTGATGTTGGATAAAAACATGATATTGTTCGTGTGTACAAACTACTGTGTGTGAAAGCTTTTGTGTGTGAAAGTTTTTGTGTGTAATTTTACAAGTGTCTGTGTGTAAAAGCTTTTGTGTGTGAAAGTGTCTTCGTGTGCAAGTGTTTGTGAGTAAAAGTGTTTGTGTGTAAAAACTTTTGTGTGTAAGAGCTTTGGTGTGTAAACACTTTTGTGTGTAAAAACTCTTTGCATTTTGTCTGCAAACAAAAATGACTAGATTTAAAAGCAGAATTGAGCAGAATTAAGAAGGATTAAGCTGAATTCAGATTTTTTTTGCTGAATACAAATTATAAGGCAAATTTGGTAGAATTAAGTAAAATTAAATATAATTTAAGTAACTGTTGAGTAATTTTAAGTAAAATGGAAAAATGGTTATTCGAATACTAATTAAAAGGCAGATTTGGCAATTTTAAGTAATTTGAAGTAAATTTTGAATAACTTCAAGTAAATTTTGAGTAATTTTAAGCAAAATTAAAAGATGTTTCTTCGAATACTAATTATAAGGCAAATTTGGCAATTTTAAGTAGTTTTAAGTAAATTAAAGTAATTTTAAGTAAATTCAAGTAATTTTAAGTAAACTTTAAGTAAATTTTGAGTAATTCTAAGTAAAATCAAAAAATTGTTTTTCAAATGCTAATTATAAGGCAAATTTGGCAATTTTAAGCAATTTTAAGTAACTTTTGAATAATTTTAAATAAATGTTGGTTAATTTCAAGTAAAATTATGTAAAATTAAGCAAACATATGTTAAATTATGTAAAGTTGAGTAATTTGTTTCAAAAACTAAATTTAAATGTATAATTAAGCAGAATTAAGCAGAAGTTTTCAAGTACTTATTTAAGTATTGCTTTCCTTGTGTGTAAGCAGGATTAAGCTGAATAAACTGGATGAAGTTAAGCAGAACTAAGAGATTCTGAAAAATATTGATGGGTGTGTTAAGAAATTTTAAGCTTTGTATTATAATGATATCTGAAAAATGTAATATCATGATTTTAAAAGAGATTTGAAATAGATTTTCAGCTGTTTTTATGAAACATGTTTTGAATAGGCTTAGTTGATACTGAGGCATTCTTAAAACGTGTTCAAGCAGCTTCTTGTACATACTATATCTTACATATTTTACTAAGTAATGTGAGATGTGTGCAGCTTGATTGATGGTTCTTGAGCTGACTGTTTTCTAGCCCTTCCAGGATTCCGTAACATTCTAAGTCAAAGTCGGCCTATACTCTACACAAGTGGCCTTTGCTGCAAAGTGCCTTTACCCTGGGCTCTGAACTTTCACCAAAATGATTTATGACACTCAGGTTTTGATTCTTAGATTCTTTTAGATTCTTATTTCAACAAAAAGTAAACCCAAGGTATATGCAAAACTGAAGAAACCGCTCATGCTGAATTAAGTAAAATTAAGTTGAACTTTTGTATCATATGATGAAACATTGATTTAAGTGGAATTAAGTTGAATTAAGCTGAATTAAGCTAAATCTAAGTAAAACTAAGGTGGTTTAAGTGGCATTCACTTGGTTTCTGAAGACCACATATTTGTAAGACATTGCGTTGCCACCCTTCAATCACACATGCATTAAACTTAATTTCACTTAAAATCAACTTAGTTTTACTTAAAATCAACTTAGTCTTACTTAAAATCAACTTAGCTTTACTTAAAATCAACATAATTTTACTTAAAATCAACATAATTTTACTTAACCCAGCCAAATGTATTGGAAAAACACGGGAAATAAATACATTCTTGCCAGTACAAGCTTCTTAGGTTTACCTAGGGGACTGTTTGCCCCGCCTCGTGCCTGGTGGTGGTGGGGCTGGCTGGTGGTTGCCTGTGGTTGCTCGGTTCTCTGTCGGGTTTGCCCTCGCTTGCCTGGCCTGCTCTGCTTGTCTCTTCGCTTCCTTCTGCTTGGCCTGGGTTGCTGTTGTTGCTGGTGTCTGGTGTTTCTTGGTCTTGCTCTTCCGCGCTCTCCTCTGCTCGCGGCTGTTCTCCGGTCTTTGCGTTCTCTTCGCGCCCTCGCGTTTCTGTTCTTGTCTCTGTGTCTGGTTTAGTTTTGATTTAAGTTTGAACGCATGACGGCTCTGATTTGGTGATTTGATTTGGTTTTTATTTCCACCTTTTTTGGGTGATTTCTGTTTGAAGGGTTCAGTGAACATTTTCAGATGTCGTCAGTTCGCACTTCTTTGTGGATTTCAGTCAATCTCATTTGGAACATGTCAACATTTCTGAAGATTATTATGACGAAGTTTTTTTGGCTGAGCTTGAACATTTTGAGTTAGATGGGGGCGCGTTGCCATCCCGAACGGGACGCCCGACATGGATTGGAAAGAACTGGATCAGATAGGCACCAGGTTCATTGCATATTTGGAGAAAGTTTTCAGAGAGCCACGTTTCTTGTTTGTTGCGTTAGAGACAGAAGATGATGCACAACGCATTTTGCAGGATGCTTGGGGTATCACAGAGCTTGGGGCTGTAGGAGATGAGGCTGTACGCATTTTGATGCTCTGGAAGGATGCCATGGACGTTCCATTTAGGAGACAGATCCAACTGAGATGCACAAACAGTTTTTCCTTATTGCAGCCACCTGGTACCACAGCAGCACGGACTCTCCAAGACGAGTTCGAAAACGTGGTTCGTCAGGGACCTGGTTTTGTGCTTGACATGGTCAAACGTCAGCTGAAACGGAAACGAGATGCGAAGGGCACACAGAGAGCAGACATTGAAAGAGATCAGAGAGCGGTCTACGCACTTCAACTTGCAGAGGTGATCAGAGAGGCATACCTACCAGTTACACACCAAATTGAGGTTTTGGATGATCCCAATAAAGCCTGGGGTAGGATTTTTGGGAGCAGGCGCTCCAAAACTTTGAGAAACCGGTACAAATCATGGCAACGTTTCAGAAGCTGGTTGGTGGCTTACTCAGGGGAAGTTTGGCCGAAAAGTTTAACACCTTTGATTTCATATGTTGAAGAGCGCATTGATGATGGATGTTCTTTCACATGTCCAAGTGAGCTCCATGCATCGCTCACGATCTTGGAACAGATTGGAAGGGTGCCTGATGAGAAGCGTTTTTCAAGCGACACCACTTGGCTCTCTCATTTGGCAAGTTGGAAACTCGAGTTGGAAACACATGCACGTGTCCCCAAAGCAGCTAAGCCGTACACTGTCGCGATCTTAGCTTCACTGGAAATCTTTGTCATGGACTTTCAGCAGGACTTGTACGCTAGATTCATTGCTTGGGTCATGTTGATTGCAAGCTGGACTTCACTCAGGGTTGATGACATTCAGAACTTGTTGCCAGAGACGCTTCGCCTTTCCCGCAGGGGATTCAGTGCAAGGTTGGCCAGGACGAAAACGAGTGGCCCCGGGAAGGTGCATGGACAGCTTCCAGTGTTCATACAAAGAGAGATCAGTTTGACAGGACATGATTGGCTTTCAACTGGTTTTGGCTTTACACAGATGGACAGTTTCATTTACCCGCGGGACTACTTGGTGCCATATCACAATGAGCATTGGACAGCATTTTTTCCGAAGTTAGTGGAGCCTCCAAGCCTAGCCAATTTCATGAGGATAGTGTTGGGGCGGCTGGGAACTCCACGGTTTCAGGATGAGGTGTGGAGGGCCAACATGGCCATGTTGCTCGCCCCGGGAGAGATGCTTCTCTTTTGGACTGGGCACAGCCCCAGACACTTCTTGACTCAGGCTGCTTTATCACTTGGGGTCACGAAGGAGAGACGTGACTACTTGGGCAGATGGTCAATAGGACGTGTTGGAAGTAATGCTTACATTCACTCAGCAAGACAGGTTGTAGAAGAGGTACAAGTAGAAGTTTTGCAAGCTCTTGTGAAAGGCACAGCTGTCATTGATGAGGGCGAACTTTTGGACGAGATTGCACAGTTTGCTGATGAGCATGGTTTGATTGGGCACCGCATCAAACGCAGACACACACAGCAGTTTAGACGTGACACGGCACTTGTGCTTCCTGAGGAAGAAGAGTCAGAGGCAGAGGAGGATGTGCCACCAGAAGGTGGGAGTGATGCCATTGTCTTGGAACCCAGGCCAGAGGCAGCTGGCAACTCAGACAGAGCAAAGTTCTTCGTAACTGTGTCACGGCGGGGGGGCATCAGGCGCTTGCATGCTCACCATAGATGTCCAGTCAAGTCAGAACGTTGCTTGGAAACTTATGACTTAGTTGATGTGGATGAGAATTCTTTTGATGTCATGTGCCGCATTTGCAAGAAACGATTGCAACAGGATGAGGGGGCACAAAAATCAGATAGCTCCAGCACGAGCGGAGACTCATCCTCAACGGATTCCGAGTAGAGCTCAGTGTGACGACTCCAGAAATGACATGGACAAAAACCTTGCGCCGCTTCAGTTTGAGTTTGTCGATTCACATTTGTATGGCAGAACATGGTGCACTCCTTTTTCTTTCAGATTTGTGTCAAAAAGGAGTGCAGAAACACGGACAAGTGTTTGGCTGCAAAGTTGAACCAACTTGCAGGAATGGCATGAGCCATTCTAAGATTCAGTTTCAGATTCAGCGCCGAGACGGCTCAAGACAAACGACGGTTGCAAGGCATTTACTGTTTTTCAGCTTGACACTCAGGTGACGTAGGACTTCAACATGCCATTGTGCTTGCATTTCATAGGACACTTGTTTAGGTTCTGCTTGATTTCATTAGGATAGTTGCAAGGTTTGGGATTCAGTTTCACTTGCACTTGTTTTACGGCATCTTGCCGCGAGACCTTGCCATGGCTGTGGACGATGCGCAGCGACGAGATTTCCTTAGGAACCACGTCACCTCCGATCTGCAGTATGTGTGGGAAGACTCGCAAGTCAGTTTGGACATGCAATACAGAATGGCCCAGCATTACACTAGCTTGAGGGTTTTCATTGCGCTGGCAGAAACCGCAGCAGAGTTGAGGACAGCACTGCGGACGGACTTCCAGCTGGACCCAACAGCAGGTGCCGAACAACGTGCTGAATTGGCACGGGTAGTTAGCTCATGGCTGACTGGCAGACAATTGTACGAAAAAGAGACGGAGCTTACAGCAGAGAGTAAAGTCATGGGTATGCCTCGGAACCTGCAGCACAGTGAAAGGCTTGCTATGGTTAAGGCAGTGGAGACAGTGTTAGGGGCCCTTGCAGAGAACGACACACCATCTGCCGAGTATCTTGCACTCAAGGTTGAAGAATGCGAGAATGGAGAAATCACAGCCTCGACTTTGGACACGGTAACTTCAAAGGCCCACAAAAATACGTCTTCTTTGCAGACTTCTTTGGATCCAGCAGGGCATGTCAGGGTAGTGAAGAACAAAACGAAAGGGGCTTTACCGGCCAACACAGAGGAGTACAGACAAGCCATGAAACTGGAATCCATCACGTGGATGTGCATGTCGGCCAAGTTCAAATCAAAGAGTTGGTTGTCTGACCTGAGGTTGGAACACTTCACCAAGTTCACTGAGTACATTTTGGGGGAACGTGTGCGCTCCATCAAGATTCCGGTGGATGGGCAGAACATGGCGCTGAAGCCGCAATGGGCCCTGGTTTTACAGTACGAACATAGGTTAAGGAGAGAAGCTTGCAAGCTGGTGAACCGGGGCGAAGCAACTCTTGCGGAAGCGCTTCAAAGAGTCATCAAGGATGCAGACCTCAAGGAATCCTTTTTCACCACACCGCTCGCCCTCACAGCGGCCGAGACCCCTGCAAAGTTTTCACGGTCCTCCTTTAAGGGATCTTCAGATAGCAACTACGATGCTACAGGGCGCACAAAGGGAAAGGGCAAGAAGAAGTTTCAACCTTGGAAAGGACACGGAAAAGGTCAGAAAGGGCATTCTAAAGGCAAACATGGGGATTTACCCCTGGTGTCGCAGACGCCAGATGGTCGCGACATATGCTTTGCATTTAACTCACAGGGCTGCAACAACAAGTGTGGGCGATTGCATGTCTGCAGAGTCCGTGGTTGTTACGGCGACCATGCGGCCCGAGAGCACAGCAAAGTGCAAACGGGCGGGGGTAAGAAAGAGTGACCCTCTAGGCCCGTGCAGCCCCGGAGTCAGTTACGGGTGCTGTATCTCTTTTGCGGCCACAAAAGAAAAGCTGACATCAAACATTTTTTGCATGAGTTTGGCAAATTGGGAGGTTTTGACTTGCATGTTAGGGAAGTTGACATTGAACGGAGCAATGAGGATGACCTACTCCAACAAGGTCTTTGGGAAGAGTTGTGGGCTGCTATTGACCAAGGTGAATGGGATGTGGTGCTTCTGACACCTCCGTGCAATACCTTTTCACGAGCACGTTGCAATAGGAATTCACCTGGACCAGGTCAGTTGAGGAATTTTCAACATCCATGGGACTTTCCATGGCTGACTGGAGATAACTGGCAACTTTTGCAGGATCATAATTTCTGATATTGCCATGTTTCAAAACAATCGACAAATGTTATGCAGTGGGCGCGGATTTTCTCTTCGAGCATCCTGAAGACTTAGGTTTGACCGAATCCGGCGAAACGCCAGCTAGTGTGTGGCAGTTGGAACAGATGCAGGCTTTGGTGACTATGAGAGGCGCTACAACATTTGCTGTGTATCAATGTCAGTTTGGGGCGCAGTCACCAAAGCCCACCAGGTTTATGACTTCACTGCAGAAAGCCAAAAGTTTTCCTGCACAGGGATTGCCCATCTTTGACTCAAAACGTCACTACCTGGGACCATTGCCTAGGTCTTGCACACACAAGTACCATGTCAAAAAGTTGATTGGAAAAGAAGCTGGCAAGTGGCGCACCGCTGATTCGGCAGCATATCCTCCTCCTCTTTGCAAGTGGCTGGCTCAGCTCATCGTCTCTCGAGTGGGGGAGGCACGCTCTGAGCTGAATGGCGGCAGAGTTACAGCAATGGCTGGACAGGCCACAGAGCTTTCAGTGGCACAGGGTCTTGCAGATGAGCCGGTCTCAGAAAGGATGCAGGTGATGGAAACTCAAAAACCTTTGCAGGGTGAGGCACCAACAGAGAAGGTTGAGGCAGTGGTTGTTGAGGAGGTGGCTGACACAGGGGCTCCTAGCAAAAGGAAGCAACAACAACTCCACCGGGGTCAACCACGCTCTTTGGAATGGGCAGGCAAACAGCGTGCTATGGTGGACGGATTTGGACTGTGTTCACCAACGTTGTGGCACCCTTCAGATAGGAATGCGTACATGGTTGACACGGCGCAGGCATTTTGCAGGCGTCTCTATGACATTTTGCAAACTGCAGTTTTGGAGAAATTTGACGACATCAGGTTGGAGGCTATCAAGCTTGGACTGGGCCGGATAGGATCATCGCCCTTTTCTGATGAGGAGCTCAAGGCGCTGAGGGGGCGTTGGGCATCCCTATTGCCCTCAAGGGCCATGGCTTTGTGCGTACCGGAACGACAGCCTTTCTACCTGGGGCTGATTGGGCAGACACTGGAGCTCCTGAGCGATCCTGATTTTTCCATTTACATGGATGGCAAGGATTCATTTTGGAATGGGGTGCCGGTTGGCTTTGACGAGCCTTTACCCAGGGTGCCAGAGCTCTATCCCAAGAAAGAGAAGGTCAGGCCGTTAGATGATTCTGAGTACAACAACATGGCAACCAACTACAAGTCCGCCAGAGAGATGGCAGACGACTTGGAGAAAAAGTTCCGTGAAGAGGAACAGTTAGGGAGGATGATCCCGACCACCGTTGGAGAGATGAAATCAAAGTTTCCGCATAGGACTCCTTTGGTTGCAGCAATGGGCGCTTTGCGAAAGCCTAACGGCGATGTCCGACCTCTTCATGACGGGACGCATTACGTCCAACTGAATAATGCAATCTTGTTCCAGGACCAGCTCGAATATCCTGGTCCAGAGCATGCAGCTGGGATGGTGCGTACTTGCCTTGGAGGCCTGCGGGCGGGTTGGAAGCGTTTGGGGGGTTTGAGGCCGAGCAAACGACAGTCTTGAAGTAGTAGCTGTAGCTGTAAGAGTTGTTGCCTTGGATTTGAGGGCGGGCAAACGGCAGTCTTGAACCCCCTGAAAGACAGATGGCAGGGGCATGTAGTAGCTGTAAGAGTTGTTGCCTTGGAGGCCTGCGGGCGGGTTGGAAGCGTTAGGGGGGTTTGAGGCCGAGGAGTCAGTTTATGCTTTGTCTGCGGACATTAAGGCTGCCCACCGTCTGGTGAAAATACGGGAGGAAGACTGGCCGCTTTTGGGTTGCAAAGTCAGGTCGGAGGACAAGACAGTTTGGATTAACACTGTTGGTACGTTTGGTATTTCCTCTGCTAGCTATTGGTGGTCACGTCTTTTCTCTGGGGTTGGTCGCGTGGTTGGATATGTGTTGAATCAGCAAGATTGGCATCAACTGGTCTATGTGGACGACCTCCACCTTTCGTGCTTGGGGGCGCGCAAGTTTCTCAACCTCTGGGTTGCAATCTTGATGTATGAGCTGATGGGAACCCCTTTTGCTTATGGCAAGTTCACCGGAGGCTTGCAGGTGCAATTCGTTGGATACCTGCTTGACTACAAGGAATGCTTCATTGGCATTACCAAGCGCCGTGGTGATTGGCTGATTCAGTTCATTGACGAGTTGGCTCGGTCTATTTACGCCGCTTCAACGAATTCTTGGGGCGACTTGGATTTGTGGCACGGGTCCTGATTTGGCTGAAGCCTTTCCTGGCTCCGCTGTATGCCTGGAGCGCAGCCATTGACAGGAGCACGGTGGCGACTGCCCCAAGGCTGGTGCTCCTGGTGCTCCAGTTCTTGAAAGTGCAGCTCACAGATTGCACCTACCTTCATTCTTGCGAACGGCCTCAGACTGCAGGGGGAGAAGTTTTTCGCACTGATGCAAAGTGTGAGGTTAACAGAGTAGTTTTGGGGGGACATCATTTGGAATCTGGCAAATGGTTTTCGCTGGAGGTGCTGCCCCACCAAGCGCCTTACTTGTTCAAGTCGGATGGCCAGTCGCAGTGGGCTTCCACGACTGCTGAGCTGCTGGCTGTATTAATTGCACTGCACTTGTTTGGCTATTTGGAAGTGGGGCGGCGCAACAACTTGCCTCCTCTCCACGTGGGCGCCGGCACAGACAATTTAGCGAACGAACACTTGCTGAAGAAGGGGCTCACGACCAAATGGCCTCTTTGCTTAGTGTTCATGCAACTCACTGAAGCACTCATGAGGGCGCATGTTCATGTCAGCCTGGATTGGCGACCACGAGACGAAAACTGTCTGGCGGATGCGCTGACCAACGGAGACTTCAGCGCGGTGGACCCGGGCAGCCGCATCTTTTGCGTCTGGGAGCAATTTGACTTCTCCTTGTTGCAGCGCCTTTGGGAAGAGCGGGAAATTTACTTGGACAAGGAGGCGTTGCGTGCCACAATGCACCACAGGAACCTTGGTGAATTTGAGAAGTCGGCTTGGTAAAAATGACTGAGAGGTGGTTTGCCTCAGAATCAGATTCAGTGTCATCTTCAGTTTTCCACAAGCCCTCGCCAAGGGGAGGCTTTACACTCGGCCTTGTCTGGCCATAGGCAAATTTTTGGTGGACTGGTTGGATCGAACCAGCTTGGAAAGGATTTGAATTTGTTTGGAAGAAGTTTTGGATGGGTGGGTCAAGCGACCATTTCACACATCCGCTCTCAGCGTCAGACCAAACGCATCAGACGTTACCACCTCCGGTCAAAATAGTTGCGAATGTCCGACTCCACAGACTTTCACTCAGATTTTATTTTAGTGCAACGGCAGTTTTTCGAATTGGTTTGTGAGTTGATGTTTTGCCAATCGTTTTTTGTTTTAGTTTGTTTCTTGAGGTCCTTATTTGACCTTCGCGTAGGTGGTTTTTGCGCACGCGCTTGTTGGCTCCGCCACTTCGCTCGGTCCCCTGTTTGTTTGCACGTGCTGTGGCAAACAGGCTTCTTAGGTTTACCTAGGGGACTGTTTGCCCCGCCTCGTGCCTGGTGGTGGTGGGGCTGGCTGGTGGTTGCCTGTGGTTGCTCGGTTCTCTGTCGGGTTTGCCCTCGCTTGCCTGGCCTGCTCTGCTTGTCTCTTCGCTTCCTTCTGCTTGGCCTGGGTTGCTGTTGTTGCTGGTGTCTGGTGTTTCTTGGTCTTGCTCTTCCGCGCTCTCCTCTGCTCGCGGCTGTTCTCCGGTCTTTGCGTTCTCTTCGCGCCCTCGCGTTTCTGTTCTTGTCTCTGTGTCTGGTTTAGTTTTGATTTAAGTTTGAACGCATGACGGCTCTGATTTGGTGATTTGATTTGGTTTTTATTTCCACCTTTTTTGGGTGATTTCTGTTTGAAGGGTTCAGTGAACATTTTCAGATGTCGTCAGTTCGCACTTCTTTGTGGATTTCAGTCAATCTCATTTGGAACATGTCAACATTTCTGAAGATTATTATGACGAAGTTTTTTGGCTGAGCTTGAACATTTTGAGTTACCCGCCCTCCCTTGCCCTGGGTGGATACTTCGAGTTAAGGTGATACTTCATGCCACTTTCAGACCAGGAGTTGACAAAGATGTTGGCCTTTATTAGTATGCTGGTGGCCTTCATGCAAGCTGACAAAGATTCCCCGGGAGACCATATCGGCGACATCGAGAACATCACTGCGTGTACCAAAGCAGTCCTGGAGCTCGTTGGACAGGCTCCGTATTTGTTGTCATTCTCCTTTTTCTGGCAAGGGGCAACACAAGCCCTATTAGCGATGGAGACACAGTATTTCCCTGACTTGCCTTGTGAGACTCCGTCTCATCTTGCAGTGCCCAGGCATTTTTTGCCGTTGTCTCGAGTCACTTTGCCTTCGTGGACCCACAACCACAGGTTGATCGCACCAGCCTTTTCATCCATGCTGAATCTGCAGAAGTGGCTCGAGACTACATACTCAGCAGAGGTCCAAGCGGATATCTTCTCACTCTGTGAGGATTTGCTATTGCTGCTCGAGACGGTCGCTGACCTCTGCAATGTCCAGGTTCAAAACACTGCTCCATTCGAAGCTTGACGGGGGCTTTACACTCGGCCTTGTCTGGCCATAGGCAAATTTTTGGTGGACTGGTTGGATCGAACCAGCTTGGAAAGGATTTGAATTTGTTTGGAAGAAGTTTTGGATGGGTGGGTCAAGCGACCATTTCACACATCCGCTCTCAGCGTCAGACCAAACGCATCAGACGTTACCACCTCCGGTCAAAATAGTTGCGAATGTCCGACTCCACAGACTTTCACTCAGATTTTATTTTAGTGCAACGGCAGTTTTTCGAATTGGTTTGTGAGTTGATGTTTTGCCAACCGTTTTTTGTTTTAGTTTGTTTCTTGAGGTCCTTATTTGACCTTCGCGTAGGTGGTTTTTGCGCACGCGCTTGTTGGCTCCGCCACTTCGCTCGGTCCCTGTTTGTTTGCACGTGCTGTGGCAAACAGCAAAACCACTTAATTCTACTTAACATCAACTTAGTTTTACTCAAAATCAACTTAGTTTTACTTTAAATCAACATAATTTTACTTAAAATCAACATAATTTTACTCAATCCAACTTAATCATGTTGACGCTTTCTGGGGGTGTCGTGGTGAGGGGCCCCACAGCAATACTATGATAAAAGCGCATAAAAAGCGCATAAAAAGCGCATAAAAAGTGCATAAAAAGTGCATAATGATTTTGACCAAAATCAACAAACATAACACAGAACAACATCAAAACCAACCAAAACACACCAAAACCAGTGTACTTTCATTTGAGTAATCACCAATATCGCAGAACATCAAAACCTAATATATATATATTTTTTAAGCTTAGTCCATATATCAAGGAAATCAGTGAAGTACCTTCCATGTTCAAAGGATCACGGGTAGCACAAGTAAGACAATTGGTCTGGCAAATCCTCAAGTAATAAAAAGTAATCTGCAAAGGTCTTCCATTTTCTCAAGTGCATATGTATAAAACAGTGCAATATCTCCAACTCCCTCAAGTAAGACATGTTCTGCTTATTGTGCCAAACCTGAACCGGCACAACAAGCAAAAACACAATGTCCATCTTTGTTTTTTGCAGAAAATCACCCAAATGGTGTTTTTGGCTGATTGCACCGCACCTGGCCCGATACTATTCTTACACAAGAACACCAGCTCCATATATTTTTCGGGGGACATCACTGACATGATGCTTTTGCTTATTGTACCAGACCTGACTTGTTACAATAAACAAAAACACCATTCTCATATGTAATCAGCCAGAATCCCAAGTAACACTCAAGTAAGGCATGGTCCACAAGTAATCAGCCAGGTCCTCAATACACTAGATGGTGATGGCAAAAAATGCACCAATGATTTCACTTGAAACCACTTACTTGAGTCTTCTTACTTAAGCCATTATATTTGAGCATTGTCTTGAAGTCCTTTTGTTTAAAACATCTTCAATGAGTACAAGTTCCTTGGGCATGGTGGGCTACTTTCTTACATGAGCATTTTATATACACCTCAAACTTGTACCAGCAAAAAACAAATCATAAACCTGAATGCATTGATTCCATCTCAAAATTTAGATTTTCCAAAACATTTGTTAACTAGTTTTGTCTGTTTTTTCAACAAAAAAACATGCCAAAAAACAGCTTTAAAAAAATGAAGAAAAATTAGGTATAAATTAGCTCAATTCGAAAAGTCGCTGCCGCAAACATGATGTGACGGTACGTGCCAGGCGCACGACCGAACGTACGACCGAACGTACAACCGAACGACCGAACGTACGACCGAACGTACGACCGAACGACCGAAACGTACGACCGAACGACCAAAAGCGTACGACCGAACGACCAAGAGAATATAACATACATATAATATTATAATATTGTCATTATCCATGTATTTCAATACATGATTATGTTTTTTAATATCCGGTGAGGGGCTGTTGTCAGCGGCAGGCTTGTTACATGATTGTTTTTATGTAAAAAAAGGGCGGGACCTGCTGTGAGCAGCAGAACGTTGAGATATTTTTTTTTGGCAAATCCTAGATAAATTGATCCAGATATGAACAATTGCACTTTTAAGTTTTAAGCACATATTTTTCACCCAACTATGTACTCAAAATTGCCAAATCCATAAGGTTAGATTTTTATTCAGATATAATCTAACTCCATGCAATTCCCATGCAAAATCATTTCATATTTCTTGAGGCAAAGGCTCAAAATTGTAAGTACACACAATTCAGGAATACGCATATTGAAATATATGTGCACCTTGATATCATTAAAATAGTTGCCTGAACCCTTCCACTATCCCTTGCAAAATATCACATTTTTTGTCTAAACGATGCAGGAAGTCTTAAAAAAGGAAATAGAGCCTTCCCTTGAAGGGGAACATGTGTCCATAATATTTAGCAAGACATTAAGATGATAGTGCATTCCTCTTCTAAAATGTAATATTAAATGCAACTATGAAGAGTCCCCTGTTCGTAAAGAAGCATGTTTCATTCAGTTGCATTTTTCCTTTGAGAAAGTACAATGTTTTTCAACAAGCAATACCCCTAAAAACTATGGAGGAATCCTCTGAAAGATGCAGCATCCCTTTAAAAAAAACGCCTTCTTCCAAATGATATGGTACCCCTTCAAGTAGGCAATATTCCTGTGCCAGTTGTGGCGTGCTTTTCAATTTACAGCCGCCTTTTTAATATGCAGAATTCAGGTCAAAAAGTGCAATATCCAATGCACCAAAGCAATATTCCTTGAAAATCCTGCAAAGATGACTATGTTGCTTGCACATAGCAGTTTTCTCATAAGACAACACAGCATTCTTGTCAAGAAGCCATGTTCCTGCAACAAAAAACTTGACACATGGAATATTCCTGTTGAAAAGGCTCAGTCTTCCTTGTTTGTTGTTTCTAAAAACCCATTCTTTCTTTTGGGGAACGATTTCATTTATTTAATATGAAAGACTTGTGCTCTCTTCTTAGTCATTTGTTTCTATCATTTTGCACAGGGTACTTCCTAGAATAATTCCTTAGACTCCAACCGAAAGCAATCTTATTTCAGAAAAGGTGCTGCGTACGTAAAAGGATTACATGTGGAATGCCAGTTCATTTTCATAGGATAATATTGCATCTCCATCGAGGAGTTTATTTTTTGAAGAAAAAACAACAACTTCCCACCCATTCTTCAAAGAATACCACATTTTTTTTGATAACAGGACCACTATATACGCACAAGAACTCCAGCTAGAAATTTGAAATGATGTTTAATGTTTGAGGAAAATGTTGCACCCTTTTCGAAGAGATGATGCACTTTCTTGAAGGACATATTCCAAATCATTATAAACATGCACTTCAAAGAATGCCATTATCACCAAAAAAAGACCATGGTACACACAAACGATTCTTAATTTGAAATGGTGTTGGAATCTGTTATGCGTAGTGAAGGTTTTTTTCAACTATGCAATCTTTCAAAGGGAATGCATGAA